CTTCCAACTATATCAGTTTGGTAGAGCTGCCATGACAAAATCCTATAGACTGGGTGGCTTAAACAACAGAAATGTATTTTCTCAGTTTTGGAGGCCAGAAGTCCAAGATGAAGGTGTTCACAGGTTTGGTTTCTCCCGAAGCCTCTGTCCTTGTCTTGCAGATGACCTTCTCCCTTTTTATATCTCCTTGTCCAAATTCCCTCTTCTATAAGGACACCAGTTATATAAGATTAGGGCCCACCTATCCTACCTCGTTTTAATTTAATTACCTCTTTAAAGGCCCAGTCTCCAAATACGGTCACATTCTGAGGTACTGGGGGTTAGGATTTCAACATATGACTTTTGGGGGAAACACAATTCAGCTCATGACATCAACTTTCCACACCTGAGGTTAAAAATAGTTTTATGCTGGGCCCACTTCTAGGGATTTAGATGAAATAAAACAAACAAAAATGCTCATCAAATGTCCAAATCAGCACACCTTGGCCCTGGAGAATAAGATCAGATTTCAAAGTAACCTGGGAAGCTAGAGAAGTGGTTAGAAGGAAAGAAAAACTTTGTTTGACATTTTGTTTATTTAGGCTTTGCTTTGTTCCAGAAAGGACACAAGGGGAGGAGACTCCCAGATTAACAAGGACATAAAGGGCAAGGTGCAAAAGAGACAGTCTGTCCTGAGTACCCTTTCACCCTCTCACTGCCACTCCCTGGTCTCTGGCCACTGCGGAGGCACCTGGCATATGCCTCCAGGTGACCACAGTGCCCCCTGAGGCTGCACCCTCAGGTGGGTGAGGGAAGGGGCAGTTAGGAAAGTTTTTCAAGGCAGAACATGGTACTCTAGGGGTTTACCAAAGTTAATGTGGTTTCCCACGGCCTCTGAGAGAGGCAACACGCAGACTGCATACAGGGCATGGTGAAGAACTATTTTACATTTCCATGGAGAATCATCATTAAAGCATGAGAAATTTGGATAACCCATTAGAAAAAGCTGATTTCAGTATTCAGTGATTAACAGATACTTATTAAGCACCTGTTATGTACCAAGCAGTATGCTGGTCACTTGAGGCTACACTGGTGAGCAAGTCTTTAATAATACTGGCAAACACACAAGTGCCAAGCACATGTATATTAACCCATATGATACTTACCAAAAACCCATTTTACAATTGAGGAAACAGAAGCAAAAGAGGTTATTTGTAACTTGCCCAAATCCACACAGCAAGGAAGAAACAAGGCCAATATTTTAACTTAGGAAAATCTGGCTGGCTCCAAATTTCATATTGGTAACAACCACATGATTCTGCCTTAAGATATTTGGAAGTAAGGCAAGGAAGTTATGAAGTCTTTTTCTCTAGATGTTTAGTTAGGATGAGGTCCATAATAAGAGTTTATGTGAAGATAAACTCAGATTGGTACAGACAGCGAGTGGGGAGGAGAGGTGTTCAGAAAGGGGAGCTGAGAAGAGGCCAAAGAGAAAGTTCATTAATTTTGCGGAAATTAATAAAAGAAAACTTACCTAAATTGGAGGCAGGAAGGCCTGTAGGGGGAGCTCTCACTCCCTATCATACATCCTCAATTACACTAAACAGGAAAAGACCTACCCTTGCACCTTCTGACAGGAACTAAAACTAGTTTACTACTGAAGGAAGATTTCTCTCCCCACCTGGCACCAGCCCAGCCAATGAGAAGCCATTGCTGCCCTGAACTGTTACTTTCCTCCAATGAACTTCTGTTTAGAACAGCCCTTCCCTACTCCCCCTTTTTCTCTATAAAAGCAGCTCCCCTCCTTTGTTTTCGGGATTTGCCTATGGTTCGTCATAGGGTGCACATCCTGAATTGCAATTCTTTTGGCTATTCCCAAATACTCATTTTGATGGTAAAATCATGGGCAAATTTGCTTTTTAAGTTGATATTTCCTAATTTTGCTTGGCGTTGGAAGTGATCCCTAATGAAAACCTGCCATGAAGATCAAAAACTGAATCATTTAATTTTAAAATGAAGCATTCAGAGCACAGTCTTAAATATGTTCAGAAGTCCAGCTCCCTATCTTGAAAATTATGAAAAATGTGAACAAAAAAGATGGAGTAGAGCATACCTTTGGCTGCCCCAAACCAACCAGTAATGGGAGCTGGAGCAGTTCTTGGTCTGGTTTTCTGAGAGGTGGGATGAGGAAACTGGGCAAGACTAGAGTGGAGATGGTGAAAATTAATAAAGGGAAACAATTTAAAATGGAGTCAGGAGGCCGGCTCCGTGGCTTAGCGGTTAAGTGCGCGCGCTCTGATGCTGGCGGCCAGGGTTCGGATCCCGGGCACGCCCCAAGGCACCACTTCTCCGTCCAACCCGAGGCCGAGTCCCACGTACAGCAACTAGAAGGATGTGAACCTATGACATACAACTATCTACTGGGGCTTTGGGGGGGAAAAATGAATAAATAAAAATCTTTAAAAAAAAAAAAAAAATGGAGTCAGGAGACCAGAATGGGGAGCTCTCACGCAGTACCGCTTGAGATCAAGTACAGGAAGGATTGTCAATTACAGACCCCCAACAAGAAGAATCCTCAATAGGAAAGAATCATCAATTGTAGGAAATATGTACATTTTATCTCCTAGAGGAAATTGACTTTCCCAGCAACTAAGCCAATGAGAACCCACCATCACAATGAACTCTCTCTTTTCTCCAATGGACTTTGGTTCTAAACAATCCCTCCCAACTTCCTCCTTTTTCTCTATAAAGTAATGTTCCTCTCCCTTGTTTGTTGGATTTGCCTATGGTCTGCCATAGTGTTACCCAGCCCATGGACCCCATAAGACGTTAACCACAACCCTGCTCAGAACAAGCCTAACACGTTCTCTTTAGCTTACAGAAAACCACAAAGAGAGGAAGGAGAAGATGGCTGAGAGGTAGATCAAATCCAGTTAAAACCGGTTGAAGGCAACATGGCAGTCCAACTTGACCTGACATAGACCCCGCAGCTCATTATATGCTCATTGTAATACACCACCATATTATAGAACACACCCATGGCAATGGCAGGATATAACCAATTAAGGAAAGAAAAGAGGTGGCACCCTTGCTCCCCAGAAAAGCCTGCCCATTTCCTGGAATAAACTATTCCTCAACTTCATTACCTAGACCCCTTATAACAGCTGCTTAATCACTCCAAGAGCTGAGAAGTTGATTTGTGAACTTAGTTCCTGCTTCTCCATTCTTTGGCCATTGAATAAAACTTGTGCTGTTGAACACTCAGCTTCGGTTTCATTTCAAATCTGAGACACGGAACAGGAAAGAACCCTCTGAGGAAGCCACGGATTATGAGTACAAGGCCCACCCATGGGCCCCTCCTCTGAGTGTGGGTCAGAGTGCCACCGTAGGATTATGAGTACAAGGCCCACCCATGGGCCCCTCCCCTGAGCTCCTCTGAGTGTGGGTCAGAGTGCCACCGTAGTGAGGTGAAATTGGTAACAATAGCATGTACATCTGGAATTGCAATTCTTTCAGCTATTCCCAAATAAACTCATTTTGCTGGTAAAATAACAGGCTATTTTATTTTCAAGGTTGACAAGATTCAAGTCCTACCCAGCTGTGGCTGCTTAATTCCTCCTTGTTGTTTGTAATTTTTATTTGTCTTTCATACAGCACACCCAAAGTTTCTCTACAAGGTTTTTCAATATAAAGTGCTCACAGACAAAAGCTAAAAACATTTAATCCCATCATCAGGTTAATCTGAAAAAGGGTCCCATCAAGGTTCTCGTATAAACTCTCATTGTTCTCCCAGGCTCTGAGAAGTGGCACTCCAGAATAACTTTATGTGGGTCAGCATCTTTTATAAAGGGGTAGGCAGAGGAGCTTATGAAATTAAACTCCTGGAAAGCACGGAGTCCCTCTCTCGGGAAATGCCTTGTATTGACGTTTTGGCGATGCCATTGTCGAGCGGTGTTTAAGACTCCAAGGTTGAAAAGGTCATTCCTCCTTACAGAGAGGGGCGAGTAACAGTTCAGACTCCACATTGGAGTCTGAGTTCAGACCATTATAAAATCCAATGACTGTCATCGTAGTGTTTGCTCTTTAGCTGAGGTGAAAGCTTCTTGTTTGCATCCGAACACTCGGGAACATAGGCGCTTTGTGCTCGCAGCAGCGAGGACAAGCGCTCACAGCCCACCGAGGAGGCTGAGAACAATACCTGGCGTGAGCAGCCTTCCGCTGACAAAGAGTGGACTCGTTAGAAAGAGTTGAAAAAACCTCCTTCCGGGCCGACCCACCCCTCGGGCCACGTGCGCGCGGGCCGCCAGGCGAGGGGTAGGGGGTCAGAGGCACCCCCAACGGGAGCCGACGCGCCGGCGCCCACTGCACATCCGCTGCGGAGGAGGAGTGTGGGCCACGGCCATGCACGCCTACCCAGGCCACAGCCAGACTCAGGACCCCAGTCCTGGCGGGGACGAAGCCTTCCGCCCACGTCCACCGTCACCAGCATCCTCTTTTCTCCCACAACGCCCAGCCATGCCCACGCTCAGCGCGCGGGACAGGGCGCAAGGCGTGTCTCGGGGCGGGGCCGCGGGCTGGCGGGGCGTGGCTCGGCCGAGAGGGCGGTGGGAAGGGCGGGGCTTGGGGTGGAGGAGCGCGGCCGCGAGGAGCGGAAAGCATGACGCACGGCGAGGAGGGGTGGGGCTTGGGTGAAGCCCGGAGCCATACTCAGCGCTGGGCGGGGCGGGGCCCGGGGGGCGGGGACAGGGGCGGGGCCCCGGGTGAAGCTGAGAGGGGAGGGGCCGGGAACGGGAGCGGGACGCGCGGCGGGAAGGGGTGAGGCTCGGCGCGGGCCCGG